CCTATATCACATCTCCCAAAGAGCTACCCTTAACGTGAGGAGGAGGAGGACAAAGGAGGAGGAGGAGGATAAAGAGGAGGAGGAGGAGGACAAAGAGGAGGAGGAGGAGGAGGAGGAGGACAAAGAGGAGGAGGAGGAGGAGGAGGAGGAGGAGGAGGGTCAAACCAGGAGAAAATACACATATTTACTCTTGAGTAAACCCTGCGGGAGACTGGAACCCGCTCCCGCCTCGGAAAAAGTTCAGTCCGGAGCCAGTCCACACGAGGGTTCGATTCAGTTCCAGGACGCGAAGATTTGCTCTGGAGTGAATTTGCTTCACGTGGAAGTGGCGCCAGCATTGTCAAAGATTTTCTCTGGAGTGAACTCGCTGATAACAATGCACATAGGGGCAGCCTTGCCGGTGAAGTCATTCCGGGGTAAATTCGCGGGCCCAAGGTGGGCCCCAATTCCAACCTCCTGAAAAATAGACTCCGGCATAATAAGTTGGTTTCAACGTGGACTCACTTCGGAGCGAGTGAAACCTTCCATAAGTTTGCGCAAGTGTTCGGCGAAGTTTCTGACAAGCAAAGAAGCTCGTCTGTCAAGTAAGCCCCTCGTCAGCTTTCAGACGCATCTAAGGGGCTCGCCAGAATACCGCTGACGAGTTTCGGGAAGGAGGGGGTAGTTTTCAGGATGTCCCGGGGAGGCCTTTCCGAAGTCTCCCAAAAGCCCCGCAAAAGCCGCGGGAAGCCGTCAGACTTCAGAAACTTGCGACGAGCTTCTCGGGGCCCTGTGGTGACCCCGACATGACCACCCATCACGACCACCCAGCACCACCCGTCCCAAGCATGACCCCATAATGATTTCAAGTTGATCCACGATGATCCTGACATGGCTGACTTGACCCCAAGATGGTCCCAGTATGATCCCAAAATGTCCTCAACATGATCTCTATATGATCCCAAGATGACCCCACTGTGACCTGAGTATCGTTCCAATGTAGCCCCAAAATGGCCCCAGGATGTCCCGAAGAAGGCCCCAAGACGACCCCAAAGAGAACCCCAACATGATTTCAACATGACCCCGATATGAACTCGATATGGCCGCAGTGTGTACCCAGAATGGCCCCATGACGACCCAATGATGACCCTACAACACGAACCCGCCATCATCATCAATCTGCGCTGGCCCACGCGCGACGCCCATCTCAATCGGACGTAACGCAACCCCCTTGTGGAGTCTCCACTGGCCTTTGCGACGCGCCGTGCGTGGCATCTAAAGACGGACCTCGCCGTCCTGACGTTGCTGGTGTTCCTCATCCCCGTCCTCCTCCTCCTCCGCCTCCTCCCCTTCCGCCTCCTCCTCCTCCTCCTCCTCCTCCTCCTCCTTCCCGTCATCATCGTCTTCGTCATCACCATCGTCGTCGCCGTCGTCACGATCATTATCACAATCATCATCATCATCATCATCATCATCATCATCATCATCATCATCATCATCATCATCATCATCATCATCATCATCAGCATCATCATCATCAGCATCATCAGCATCATCATCATCATCATCATCATCATCATCATCATCATCATCATCACCATCATCACCATCATCATCATCATCATCATCATCATCATCATCAGCAGCATCTGCATCATCATCATCATCAGCATCATCATCATAATCCTCATCATCATCAGCAGCAGCATCCCCATCATCATCATCATCATCATCATCATCGTCATCGTCATCGTCATCATCAGCAGCATCATCATCATCAAAATCAAAATCATCAGCATCAGCATCAGCATCAGCATCATCATCAGCACCATCATCATCACCATCACCATTACCATCATCGTCATCATCGTCATCATCGTCATCATCATCAGCAGCAGCATCATCGTCGTCATCGTCATCATCATCATCAGCGTCATCATCATCAGCATCATCAACATCAGCATCATCATCAGCAGCATCATCATCAGCATCATCAGCATCCTTATCGTCGTCATCATCATAAGCATCACCATCATTATCATCAGCAGCATCATCAGCAGCAGCGCCATCATCATCACCATCACCATCACCATCATCGTCATCATCGTCAGCATCGTCATCATCATCAGCAGCAGCATCATCATCGTCGTCATCGTCATCATCATCATCAGCGTCATCATCAGCAGCATCATCAGCATCAGCATCATCATCAGCAGCATCATCATCAGCATCATCAGCATCATTATCGTCGTCATCATCATGAGCATCACCATCATTCTCATCGGCAGCATCATCAGCAGCAGCGCCATCATCATCAGCATCAGCATAATCATCAGCATTATCATCATTACTATCACCATCAGAATCAGCATCAGCATCAGCAGCATCAGCATCAGCATCATCAGCATCATCATAATCATCATTAGCATCATCATCATCATCATAAGCATCATCAGCAGCATCGTCAGTATCGACATCATCAGCATCATCAACAGCCTCATCATCACCACCACCACCATCATCATCATCAGCATCATCATCATCAGCATCATCAGCAGCATCAGCATCATCCTCCTCATCGTCATCATCATCATAATAACCAGTACCGTCCTAATCGCCACCACAGTCATCGCCATCATCATCAGTATCACCACTTCATCATCGCCATCAACATCAGCATCAACATCAGCATCATTATCAACATCATTATCAGTATAGTCATCAGTATAATCATCGCTCTCCGCCTCGCCTTCTACTCGTTTCTCTCTCACTTCCTCCCCTGCCGCATCATTATTTTGAAACTGTCTGGCATCAATCAGCTGATGTTCCAGCGAGGCACGAACTGGTGCATGCCCTCTCTAACTAGACGCGGTGGCGCTTCGACAAGCCCAGGAAGCTTGGAAATGTAACGAAGTTTCCGTGAGGTCAAATCCCAGGGCGAATGCGCAACTGGCGAACCGCGCAGGCCAGAGAGTCCTGAAAGGCCCGAATCAGTTTTCAAAAAAAAAACGGCAGGTCTGATTCTGGATGACGGGCAACCGATTTAGCGGTTATCCGTCGATGCCCCTTGGCTGGCCAGCAGGTGGTCCTGGCGCGCGGGCAGGCAGAGACCTCGTGAGAGGCTGCCTACCTCGCCCATCCCCTCCTGCGCCCTGCCAGACGCGGAGGAAAAACAGGCTCCGAGTAGAGTATTGTGGTGGCCGTGGCGAAGAATTGTCACACCTAGTGGGTCAGCACTGCCACTCTAATCGCTTGCCCCAGGAAATCCGAGTTGGTCCGAGATGACCCAAAGAAGGCCCCGACCCCAATATGGCCACCCAAAACTCCCCCAACATGACTCCAAGATAACCCCAATCGGGCCCCAGGATATTCCCAAGATGACCCCTAGATGACCCCAATACGATCCCCTGATGTCCTCGATGTGACCCCAGGATGGCCCAATGATGCCCCAAGACGGCCCCTAGAGGTGCCCAGGAGCCCCCCAAGAGGCCCCGAATTGGCACCCACAAAATTCCACAGACGCCCCAAAGGCCCCCCAGGGAAACCCAAGGCGCCCCGAAAGGCATCGACCACCAGCACGCTCACCAGGCACCGACTACCCAGCACGACCACCCAGAACAACCAGGCTGCACGACCACCAAGCACGACCACCAGCACGACCACCCAACACGACAACCCAGCACAACCAACCAGCATGACCACCCAGCAGGACCCCCCCTGCATGACCAACAGCACGACCACCCAGCACGACCACCGAGCACTATAACACAAAAAAAACAAAAAAATAATTGGCGCACGCTCGGAGAGAGGCGCGGGTCGAAACCCGCAAACGTTCGCTTCATGCCGCTTTGTGCCGCGAGCTGTTTAGGCTGGCGGGCCCCGCGAGCGCGCGTTAAACCACGTGTTGATTGTTGGTTCGGGCCACGCCAGCAAACGACTCAATTGCGTTCGGCGGCCTTCGGGGCTCCCCCGCCGCAGAATAAGGCAGGAGCGCGGCGAAACTCGACGCCAGGCTCCCGCCGTTTTTTTTTCCGCGAACTGTTTCGGCCCAGCGACCCCGCGACCGCACATTAAGCGCTTGTTGTTTGTGAGCGCAGGCCACACGGGCAAACGACTTGTTCGATGGATTCAGATGGTTCGTTGTTGTGGTTTCCCGCCCTGGCGCCCGCGGCAGGATGCATCTACTCTGGACCTAAATTTACGGAAGCGGTTGGCTCGCGCACGGGGACCCGCGAGAATAGTGATTCGGGCCCAGGCGAAAAAACTGCAGGCCGACATGTGACATGCGCCACAAATCAGCACGACCACCTAGCACGACCAACCAAAATGACCACCAGGACGACCACCAGGCACGACCACCCAGCATTACCGCCCAGCACTACCACCCAACCCAGCACGGCCACCGACCACGACCACCCGGCATGATCACCCCGCACAACCACCCTGCACGACCACCAGCACGACCACCCAACACGACAACCCAGCACGACCAACCAGCATGATCACAAAGCAGGATCCCCCAGCACGGCCACCGGCACGACCACCCAACACGACCACCCAGCACGACCACCCAGCACGACCATTCAGCACGACTACACATTCAGCACGCCCACAACAATAAAACAAGTCAATTGACGCACGTTCGCGGGGGCAACGTCCACGTGAGAGGGGGTCACAGAATCGCACGGCATCGCTGAAGCATCGCAGCGTCGGGTGGGAAACGTCGGTCCCCAGATCGAGCCGCATCGCCGACAAACCGGCAATACGGAGCGATTGTCCGACCCTGTCTGTTGTCGACCTTGGGAGCATCAAACAAGAAAATCCCTAATTAAAAGCTGGCCCTGGAAAGAGGTCTATAACATGTTTTCGACACGCAGCCTTCGTCTCGCCGTGTTTCGGCGCACGGGGCGGGATCCCCCGCAGCCCGCTTGCCATCCGCCTCCTCGTCATCCGTCTCCTCCTTCTCCTTCTTCCACTCGCCCTATTGGCCTTTTTTCCAAATTATTCGCCACGACCTTCCCCAAAATTGTTCTTCTGTACAATAAGTTTCCTCCTCCCCCTCATCATCGCCATCTCCCTCATCATCATCGCTCTGCCGCCGCAACTCGCTTACGCGAATACCCTGTCCGCGCTGGGTGAACACAGCGCCCGAGGAGCGCGAACCACCGCCGCGGCCGTGGAAGGCTGCGTCCACGTCGTCATGTTCAAGGCCTCGCGGCGGTAGTAGCATCCCCCCTGCTGGTCGAGGTCGCTGATCCAGCCTGGTGGCAAGGAGGCTGGTTGTTGGATCTCGTATCAAATAGCGGGGGTGACCATTACGTCTGCTGCGTGACCCTCTGGGGGTAGCACGTCTTGCCGGACGTGCCCTTCGCACTCGCCCATCCATCAGGGAGCTAACGATCCTGATCGTCATGCTGCGCAGCTGGTGGCCCTCGTAGTCCTCGTAGCTCAGCCGCTTGTCCTCGTAGCTGAGCTGGAGGCCCTGGTAACTCACCTTGCGGCCACATAGTTTAGCAGCTGCCCGTGGCAGTTCACTTGGTGGTCATCGAAGCCTTGCTTGTGGTTCTCGCACTTCGCCTCGTGCCTCTCGCAACTCAGCCCGTAATCCTCCCTCTGCTGGTGGCTCTGGTTGCTTAGCTATTGGCACTCGTAACTCCTCTGGTGGTTCTCGTGGCTCTGTTTGTGGCCGTCGTAAAACAGCTTGTGACCCTGGTAGGACAGCTGGCGGCTCTGGTAGCTACGCTGGTGGTTCGGGGAGCTCTGCCTGCGGCCGTCGCAGATTTGAAGCACAGGTTGTAGCCCTCGTTGAACCACAGGTGGCCCCCCTAGTTCAGCAGGTGGCCGTATTAGCTCGTGGCTCACGTAGCTCTTCTTGACGCCCTCGAAGCTCAGCTTGTGGCCCCCCTCTGAGCTCAGCTCGTTGCCCCCGTACTTCAACGGGATGACCTCGTAGCTCTGGCGGTGGGTCCCCTAGCTCTGCAAGTGCCCCTGGTAATTCAGCCAGTTGTTTCTGTAGCCGTCGTCACTCAGCCCATTGCTTCCTAGCCCAACTGGTGGACCTAGTAGCTCAATATGTGGCCATGGTAGCTTTGCTGGTCATTTTCGTTGTTCTGCAGGCTGTCCTGGTGGAAGTTGTCCCCATGCTTCTAGTAGGACGGATCGTGCCCCTTGCAACTCATCTTTGTGGTCCTCTTAACTCAGTTGGTTACTGTCGTAATGCTGGCAAAAACCTTCGTGGACCTGCTTGTGGCTCTCGGAATTCGGCTTGTGGCCCCTCGAGCTCCGCTGGGGGCTCTCGTGGTTCAGGTAATTACGAGTCTCGGAGCTATGCTCGCTGCCCTTGAAGCTCAGTCTGTGGTCCTCGTGCATCCAGACGTGGTCGTCGTAGATCCCTTAGTGGCCCTCGCAACTCGGCTGGTGGGTCTCGTACTTTTGTCTGTGGCCCTGCGGGTGATTCCTGAAGGTCTGCCTGCGGCCCTCGTAGCTCAGGCAGCGGCCCTCGCAGCCCAAGTGTGGCACCCGTAACTCAGCTGATGGCCCTCGTTGTCCGGCTGCGCACCATGGTCCCAGTGGCGGTCGTCGACCACGTATTGGAGGTCGTACTGATCGTACTGGTAGTGCCAGTGGTAGCCGCCGACGCCGTACAGGCTGTCGCAGAGGTCGTACTGATGGTCGTACTGGTGGTCGAACTTGTCGAACTCGTCGCGCTCTGGGACCTCGACGACGATGTATTTGCACTCCGCCAGGCGCTGATGAAAACTTGGCCTTCGGCCGCTGGGTGCTTGAGCGTGGGGCGTAATCTCAGCGCTGCTCGCCGTCAGGTGATCGTCCTCCGTCGCGACCGAAACTGCTAGCATCGCCCTCGCCACCAGCGCGACATGACGTCTTCGCAGTGGTTCCTCATCCTTCCTCTAGAGGCCTCCTAGATGGGGTCGGAGTAGATGGGGTCGGAGGATCGCGCCGCATCGCCGATACATCGGCGATGCATCGGCGATGTATGGGCGATGCATCGGCGATGCACTGGCGATGCATCGCCGACGTGGGCGATTCATCGGCGACGTCGACGTGAAGCAGATCTGGCTCCACATCGAGCCGCATCGCCGATGCATCGCCGATGCGGCGCGATCCACCGACCCCATCTACTCGGACCCCATCTGGGAGGCCTAGACTTTCCTGGCCGAGTATGTCAGGCGCATCCCGTGGCCCGCGGCCTGAGGTCAGCCCTCCAGGGGCAGCCCGTGGCCTGAGGTCAGCCCTCCCGGGGCGCGCGCGCGCGGCCGGGCGCGGCGCCAGGGGGCGAGCGCGGGAGATGGATCCCGCATATGGCCTTCTTCCTCCTCTGCCTCCTCCTCTTCCTCCTCCTCCTCATCACCATTTGTTTCCGTGTAGATTGCTCCTCCCTGTCGCACCGCAAGACGTGTCGGCAGAGCGGGCCAGACGTTTCACTTGAGGCTTCCTCACCGCTGCTGCTCCTCAAGCTTGACAATGTCCGACATCTGCACGGATGGAGGGCACAGCTGCATGTTCAAGATGAGGATGTCGCCCTGGCACGGAACAACCTCGTCTTGAGGCATTCCGATAGGTACCCAGATGGAGAGCGGTACCGTTCAAAAAATGGGGCTCCCGCTGTGAACCGCGAACACTCGTCTTTGAGAAAATCACAACAAATCTACACGGACAGGAGATGGTAGCTTATAACAGTCAGAATCTCGCCAAGGGGCTGCGCACAACTGTTTGGAAAAGTCCACCGACCCTGTCGGCGTGTGTGATAGGCTTTTCAGATGGAGTCGTCGTCGTCGTCGCCACTCTCCCTCAAGCCTTCCGAGAGGCTCTTCAATTTGAGTCGTCGTCGTCGCCGCTCCCCCTCACGCCTTCCAGCCACAGGGAATCGAGTCGAAAGGAAGCCCCTTCCCTTTGATCCCTTGCCGGCTCGGAAGGGTCCCACCAGGAGGGGGAGGTCCTGCGGGTGGTGACCACCCAGGGGTAAGCACCCCTACTTAGGAGAAGTCTTCTGCTCCTGAGCGTCAGCGTACTCGTCGTCGTCGCCGTCGTCGTCGTCCTACTTCAGGGTCGGCGGCACTGGCCGCAAGGCCTTCGCAATTCAACAGCCACACGGATGCAGAGCGGTTCCTTTTCAAAATAGGGCTCTCGCTCTCGCCCTGGCACCGCGCGCACTCGTCTGAAAGACGTCCAACAGATAAGACGCTCGGGTGAAGGGCCATTTTAATTCAGGGCTCCCGCATAACACTTGCTTAAATCGCATGGCCCGAAGTTCCAAACTGTGCAGCCGTTACACGAATCGAGAGCAGCTGCTCAAAATCAAACTCTCGCTTCAGAAAGATTACTCCAGATTTCGTAATAAAGGGAGGGGGGTCTCATTTCGGGGGGGGTCTCCTCCAGGCTATCTTGGAGGGCCTGGGGGGTCTGGGGACGATGTTTTGGAGGGTTCTCCCACGGGGGGGGTCTGAAATGGCTTGTCTTGGAGGGTCCAGACCCGCTCCCTGTTATTACGAGATCTGGAGTACAGGTCGAAGGATGGACGGAAGATCTTTTACTGGACCAGGTCTCGGCTGAACGGAAGGTCAAAAGGGGGGGGGCTCGTCTTTCGGGGCGGGGGGGTGGAGGGCGACTCCCGCCACGTAGAGGAAGACGTCGAGGGTCGACTGAGGAGGGGACTCGGGACAGGAAGATCTATTGCAGCATCCTTGAAGCATCCGAGGTTCACGCCCGTCCTCTTCCTCCTCATCCTCCACTCCCTCCTCAGGTTCATCCTCCTTCTCCTCCTACTCCTCCTTCCTCTCCTCTTTCTCCTCCTGCTCCCCCTCATAATCCCGATCATCTCATTATCTTCATCACAATCACCACCCTGATCCTCATCATCATCATCATCATCATCATCATCATCATCATCATCATCATCATCCTTCTCCTCCTCCTCCTCCTTCTCCTCATCATCATCATCATCATCATCAGCAGCAGCATGATCAGCATCATCAGCAGCATCATCATCTTTATCATCTTTATCACAAACATAATCACCCTCAGCGTCATCATCAGCAGCATCGTCATCATCCTCATCCACAACCACCATCATCATAATCAGCATCTTCGTCGTCGGCATCATCATCCACCATCCATTATCATCTATCCATACTCAATCATGCATCACCCATCTTATGTTCATCTGCCTCACCCCAATAACCTGCCCTGGAAAAAGGAGTCGAGGCCATGGCACACGACCATTAGAGATGACATGCGAGGTCCAAACAGTTGTTTGTTGACGAGGGGCTCGTCGGCTCTGAAGGTGTTGTTGGGACCTCAGACCTTGCGTTCGAGATTAATTCGGAGCGGAGGGAAGCCTTAGACGAGGCCGCGTGGGAGGCAGGTGTCCAGCAGTTCTCTGAAGTGAGAGGGGTGCTCCGTGAGGGGGGGGGGGCTACGCCGTCCACCCAACCCCTTCCGCCGCCAACTTTTCCTGCTGCTGCTGCTGTTTCGGATCTGGCCGAATGCGAAGGGAAGCCTTGGGTTTTCAACATCCACTCCGTGGTCAAGGCCTCTGTGACTCCCTCGAAGTAGGGAGCCAGCTCAGAGCCAGGCATTCTGTCCTGTAAAGCTCGCGGGTCCTCGGTGCACAAGAACGGTCGGGTGAGCTGATGGACGGTGTGCCGGGGGGAGATGCGGCACCAGGTCTGTGGATTGTTAAAGGTTTCTGCATAAGGATTATTCATGCAGTTTCCCTTAATAAGGATCATTGACTACAAGGTTCCTCAGTCAGGACTACTACCTGGGAAGGATGATTTATTCAGTTTCCATTGGGACGGACTATTTTCGAAGGATCCCTTAGTAAGGCTTTTCCGCTAGGCCTCTGGAGTAGGCATTATGTATCAAAGTTCCCTTAGTATTCCCGCCTCCACCGAGGGCTCGTGCCAGGCCGCCTGCAGGCGCGGATCAGACGCCCGCGCCCCCGCAGGCCCCGACGTCGGAGCCCGGACCGGCCGCTGCCCCTCCCTCGGTGGAGGCGCGGAATGGCAGGAGGCAGGAAGGAGGCGCGATCAGTCGGACCGTTTGCCTGGTAAGGTATCGCACTCTCGTTCCGAGCTCTGACGACTAGTAGGTGGCTCAGCTGCACGGTGTTGCTTCCCCTCTTCGGTCTTGGAGTACGCTCGAACTCCCAGAGATAGCGATGAGCCTGATGCCTTCGCGGAGTTGCCTACTGTTACGTATGTAGGCGTGGACTGCTCCTCAGAAAAGGGTGCTTTGCCTCATGTGGCCAGCACACACAACACATCCGTCTAGTCACCTTTCTATGCATTTATCCTCCTCCTCCTCCTCGACATCCTCCTCGTCCGTGTCCTCCCTCCTCGTCCTCCGATGCTCCTCAATTCCCCCCCTCCATCGCCCCTCCTCGTGATCCTGCTGTTCCTCCTCCTCCTCCTCCTCCATCCTCTCCTCGTCCTCCATCCATCGTCGTCGTCGTCGTCATCGTCATCGTCATCATCGTCATCATCATCATCATCATCATCATCATCATCATCATCATCATCATCATCATCATCATCATCATCATCATCATCATCATCATCATCATCATCATCATCATCATCATCATCATCATCATCATCATCATCATCATCATCATCATCATCATCATCATCATCATCATCATCATCATCATCATCATCATCATCATCATCATCATCATCATCATCATCATCATCATCATCATCACCAGCATCATCATGACCATAATCATCATCATCATCATCATCATCATCATCATCATCATCATCATCATCATCATCGTCGCCAGCGGCATCATTATCATCAGAACGATCATCATCAGCATCAGCATCACCACAGCCATCATCATCAGCAGCAACATCATGAGCAGCATCATCATCTTCAGAATCATCAGCATCATCATCAGATTCATCAGCAGCAGAAGCATCATCATAATCACCATCGACTCTATGATCATCAGCAGCAGCATCATCACTATCATCATCGTCATCGTCAACATAATCATCATCATCAGCATCATCGTCAGCAGCGGCATCATAATCATCAGAATCATCATCACCAGCATCATCACCACCAGCATCATCATTATATCATCATCGTCATCGTCATCTTCATTGTCATCGTAATCTTGGTCCTGACAATCATCCTGAATTCACGATTGGTTCATCCCTCATCCGCGTCACGGCGACCATCTTCTTCATCATCGAAGTTACCTCCCTCCTGTTGCAGCGACCCTCCTCCCTCTCGCCCCCCCTCCATTCCACACACAGACATGTCATCATCATCCTGATCCTCTTCCACATCATCATCATCATCATCATCATCATCATCATCATCATCATCATCATCATCATCATCATCGTCATCATCATCAGCATCATCATCACCATCACCATCACTATCACCGTCGCTATCACCATCACCATCACCAGCATTCATCAGCATCATCATCATCATCATGAACAGTGTCATCATAAACAATATCATCATCATAATCGTGATCGTCATCGCCACCACCACCACCGTCACCACCATCATCGCACCGCCACCATCACCAACAACAATAACATCATCGTCATCATCATCAACGTCATGAGGAGCATCATCAGCATCATCATGATCATGATCACCATTGTCATCATCACCATCATCAGCATCATCATCGTCGTCATAGTCATCATCACCATCACCATCACAGTCACCCTTACAATCATCAGCAGCATCATCATCACCACCATCATCAGCATCACAATCCTCACCATCATCATCACCATCATCACCATCATCATCGTCATCATCCTCATGATCCTCATGACCAGAATCCCCGTAATCATCATCAGTATCATCATGGTCATCGTCATCGTCGTCATTAGCATCATCATCATCATCATCATCATCATCATCATCATCAACATCATCATCAAAATCAGAATCATCAGCATCATGATCATCAGAATTATCATGAGCAGCAGCAGCAGCATCATCATCATAGTCAGCATCATAATCATTATTTAATTTCCTCCCCATCTCGCCACCGCGCGCGCCTCCGTCACCATCTGGGCGGCCCAGCGCCTCCGCGGCGCGCGTGGACGGCACGCACCCGGCCCTGTGATCCAAACTCGACGAGGCGCGCACCGAGGCCACAACCGAGGCGACAATTCTTACTCGAATCAGGGGGCCCTCGCCTCGCCCTCCTGGACAAGGTCCTCCCCGGCCTCGTCCTCCTCGGCCTCGCCCCCCCTCGACCTCGCCCTCCTCGTCCTCGTCCGCCTCGACCTCGTTCGGCGGCGAGCCCAGGTGAGAAGTGCAA